CTTACACAAGTCTTCCTGCAAGACTGCTGTTAATTGATTGCAATATCTCTTTGTAGAGGGTTTTCATGTCATATGGTACAGAAATAATGAGTAACTTCAAAGGATCAAAAATACGTTGTGCTAAAATAATTGTTGTAAATACTAGTTTTGACCTAACATTTAAATTGCCTTTAAACTCATATCATTCCAGAAAGAATAATGCCAGTCAGGTACTGTGCATGATTATACTATTCCTTTACCATTAAGTAAAATAGTTTATACAGTTCCTGTGTATTTCAGTCTGTCACTGCATTGCAGACACATCCAGCAAAAATAGGATGAGAAGAAAGTTCTAGCTCACAGAACCTGTTTCAAGAGCCACACTTAATCGCTTTAGCCCTTTATTGTTGATGTCAATTATACTGTCAATGGTATTTGACAAGAATTTGCATAAACAATGAAGCATTTTGTGCTTCGTTTTGGAAATAAAGCAAATCAGCAAGTAAAACCCAGGAGTGTCAAGGAAGTGCAGAATTTTTTTGCTAACTGACTTTGTGAAAAATGCTGTAAATTGAATACAATTTGAACAAACAAAAATATTTTATTTTTAATGCAATCTAAGCCACAGTGATTTGAAAACTAATAGACCTCAGTGCTGTGTCTGCCAACTAAACAGATAAACAATTCTGTTAGTGTTGAGGAAAATAAAACTGGAGTTCATGGGATAGTAGGTGCTCTGTTAGACACACTCCTGAAGAAAGAGGCACCAGCCTGAATTAGTTTGCTGTCTTGGTTAATAATTAATGACAGTTTGATAATTTGTCTTCAAATTTTGTAGACAACTTCATGGGAAAAGGATAGAAAAATATTATGGGTATGATAGATTTGAAGATTCTTTAACAAGCTCAAGAAGAATTAAATAGTTCAGAAGAGGAAGAGGCTACTCTGCATGTCTAAAAATTACTTTAAATTATGCCAGTTTAATAATGTAAGCCTGAGGTTTGTAAAACAATGCAGCTATAAGGGGAAAATTCGTCATTGTTCCGATAGGTTAGTGGTGAATAAGAGTAAATTTCAAGAATGAGTCACTGACAGGCAGTATTCCCACTTAGTACTGCATATCATGGATTGATTTTTCTTTCAATATATTTCCAAGGGTTTTGTGTTGTGTTTTTTTTTTTTTGTTTGTTTGTTTGTTTTAAATACACCAAAGAAATCTCAATCTTTATTGTATTGTTTTATATGTGACACTACATATATATATATAAAAATATTTTAAAAGGCTATGTTCAGGGAAAAATGATCTCCAGTAACATTCACCAGTTTTAGAGGAGGGTCTTCAGCCTGTTACTTACAGATTCCAAATGTCTTTTCCCTTGCAATGTTTCATGCTCCTCTTCCCTATGAAGACTACTGTAGGAACACAGCTGTGAGAACTGAGTTTAATAATATCCCACAGAAAATACTCCGATCTGATCAAGATGGAGATTGTTTTTCTTTGTCCTAATAGGAGAGGTTCTACAGAATGCTCATGTAAAAGTATGGGTGAAAGGCAAAAGCAGCGTTTAAAACAAGGCAGACTAGTTTAGGTTCAGGACTGAACTGGGGACTTTCATCACAATTCTGTCCTCTCTTGAGCCAGGATAGGATCACATCATCAACACAGTTAACAAGAGCCTGGTGATCTGACAAAGTTGCCCTCTAATTTGAATAGTGTTGACTTTTGTCTATCTGAATATGATGGTTTCCTAGCAACAACTTCAGATATTTGACTACTCTTGGGTTATACCTCCTCTAAAAGATGCTATATGGGCCACATTTTTTCTTCTTTTTGAACAAATTCTTGTGATAACAATGACCAATGTTATTACAGTGATATTAAATTCAATATTAATTTTTTTGACCATTACTTGCAGTTAAAGTTAATTGATCCCTTCTTCACCAATCACGTCCCATGTTCACCAAAGACCGAATAACATTTGGAAGGATACAATTCTGTTTAAGCTCCTGAAAGATCTAACATTGAGCTATAAGCTGACAGTTGAAAGGCAGAGCATAGTACAAGCTAATGAAAAACTTTTCCGGCTGCTAGATTCAGGAGGATTGAAGTGACGGGGTTTGGTGTGTTCAAAATATTCAGAAATATTTTTGAGACCTTTTTGCTCTTCAGGTATTGAACCTGAAAAAAAATATTTTTTTAAACTGTTGTTAAATACTGTGTTGAAGTCTGTAGATTGTTTTTCTTCAACTGCTGCCTTCTTTGCTGGGCAAAAAAAAAAATCCCTCAAACTGAAAGCTTTCTGTTTTTCATTAAATACTCACATATTCTACTGTGGCCCTGGCAGTATTTTCCTTTCTAAGATTTCCTCTCTATCTAGCTTTCTATCAGACCGGAGACTCTGTAAGTTAACATTGGCTGATATTTGTAGTCACGGAATAACTTAATCCTTTCCTACTACAATCTTGACATGAAAGACTACTCTGTCCTTTGTACTATCAATTTAACTTGCAGACTTCTTTTAGCCAGTGTCTGAAGATCTGAGCCAGTTTAGCTCTGTTGATTTCAAGGATTGCACCACAGAGTTTTCTGTTTCCTCTGGACAGGTGTTTTCACTGTGAGCATTGTTGAATGCTGGACTTGTTGCGCAGGGTGGTGGTGAAGTGTTTGTCCCTGGAGATACTCAAATCCAGCTGGACATGTCACTGAGCAACCTTCTGTAGCTGACAATGACGGGAGCTGGAGCTCTGAGCTATGGAAGAGTGGGAATGTTAAACTGGACACTTAAATAAATAGGCTTTTCAGGACAGATAGGCACAAATTTGTCCCAGTTATGTGAAGAAGAAAATACTCTATGTAATTGCATGGGAAATGTACATGGTTTAAAAGCTGAATGTGTATTGAGACCACACTATATGTTATTTACAGCTGGTGTATGGGAATGTTGAAGGATTGCCATATCTTGATGTCTGACTTTTCATTACATGACTGAGAAAAGTGAGGTTGCATTTTTGCAATTTTGTCAGCCTAAGAAATTAGTCTAATCATTCCCCAGAAGAAAATGGTGAGAATTATTTTTGCAGTGAAAATAGACTCTCTAAAATGGCTGTGTAATATGAAAATAAAAGGTAGGAACTCTGGTAGATCAGCAAAAACAATTTAGTACAGGTTTTCCAAATGTTGTTCTGTAGACGAATACATTGTGATGATACATGAAGAATGGGAGTTTTATTTGTCTAGTTATTTGCATGAGAACTCTAATTTTCCATATGAGCAATTCCATTAGCTGTCCTAGAGAAGCTGTGAGATTTTTTTCTTGTGCAAAGTGAAAAGGGAGCAATTCATGCTAGGCTTTTGTTCTTGGAAAATTAATGTGTAGCTTCACATTGTTGATAGATTTTTTTTTTCCCAGAAATTTGCTATTTTCCGTAATACATTTAAAAAGCTTGGTTCAAGCCACTTAGCCAAGACTCCTTTTTGTACTTCAGCAATAAATAGATAGAGGAAGACATATGGTAATGGCAATAGCCATCTTGACAGTCATCGTGGAGGAGACAATATTAAAAACACAGTCTCATTTAATTTATAGTCAGAGCTTTGATAGTACTTAGCAATTCCTGTCCCCTGAGAATTCAATTATTTCACTGTTGTACACTAGGCAGCAGCCATCGTTTCCCCTGTCCCGTTCTGTGAAAAGTCCAGGGTTTTACTTCTTTCCTCATGTGTTGAATCAAATTCATGGAATAAGATATGTGTGGTTAAAAAGTTTATAAAATCCGGTTTTGGCTAGCATGATATTGTAACAAGGCAGCATCCCAATAAGTATCACTGCAGTGCGTTTTTTTTCTCACATTTTGATTTCTATGCCATCATGATTGTTAGGTTATGTTGGCAGTGAGCTGTCGAGCTAAAAAATACAGTATTCTTGTAAATTATTCTGTGTAAATATGAGACTTTGAAAACAGCAATAGTATTGCAGCAACCTGAGATAATACCAGGACCTGAAAGACCTTGTTACCGAGTCATTGTCTCCGAGTCCTTGGCTTTATCTTTTCTCTTCCCAGTCTAGTCCTCTAGGTAGTGAGCTCTGGAAACATGGTCACCAAGTGAGTCGTCTCACACCTAGGAGAATACCACTAAATTAGTGCTAATTTACATGACAAGTCTTGTGATGGAGCCAGTACAAAGTATAGGTTCCTTTACTGGGGTGAACATTTGGCAGAGAGAGCTTCCGAAGAACTGGTGAGCACAGACCTGACAGGATCCTTTCTTGGTCCTTGGTGTATTTCCTGATGTAGACAATGCTTGTTGCAGGGGTGTGGTCGGTGTGCTCTGCAAATGAGTCATTTAGGTCATAATCAACCATATGGGCCAAAAGAAACCATAACAAGCATATGTTGTAACTAGTCTAAGCTGTGCTGCTTTGACATGCTCAGGCACAAAATTTGGCCAAAACACAGGAAAAAAAACCAGCTTCATATCCTCTAGGGGGAAAAAAAATCTCACCTAATTCTTCTTTGTAAGCATTTGGATTCTTTCAGTCCATCAGCTAAGCAAAGAAACCACTGGAACTGTCACCATTTATAGTTTGGACTATCAGAGTATGATTCAGTGAGCAAAGTTAGCATTTAGCAAAAATGTGCTGTGCTTAACAAAACATGAGTTGCTTGAATATGTGAAAGTGTCTCACATACGCAAATGCACTTTAGTGATCTTTATTTTCAATGTGTGACAGAAATTAATTTGAGGGCAAATGTGTCACAGTTGCTGATAGCTATCTGATTATGCATATGTTGCCTTGCCGATGCAGTGTCAGCTGTAAAGAGAGTCTCTCTTTGGTCAGCCTTTCATTTTCACAAAGGCTGACAATAACTTCTGTTAGCCCATTAACAAGATTATAAAACTTGAAACACACATGGTAATAAATCTCCTCCAATTACCAAGTTGTAAAAAGCAGCTTACTGGTAATTTCAGTGTAGTGGCTCAGTCACTGATTTGAGAATCCATCCTTCTTTGTAAATAGAGCAGAGATTGCCTCAGGCTGGGCCCACCTGCACAGGGAGAGGTTGTCCAAGTGAAATGGCCTGATGGAAAACTGTACCGTGCAAAGTATCTGGGAACAAACACAACTTACATGTATCAGGTGAGTGTCTGTGTTTATTACCATGTGCTTGTTTTTCAGATGTCTTTATTGCAAATTGCTCATTCAGCCCTAGAATTGGAGTGGCCAGCTGCATCTTCAAAGCTGCAGAAGGCTGGAGTGCGGATTCTTACTGTAACTGCTAATACATTTGAACTAATAAATAAACTGCCTAAACCATTAACAAGTGCTGTGTGCTCTTTGAGAGATGAGATTTCACCTGTTCTTATAAAATCAAGAAAATGTCTTATTTGATAAGAACTCAAGTGAAAAGATGAAATATTAAGATTGAAAGATAACCTTTGTTATTTTCTCCAGGTAATATTTAAATTGTTTGATGTCAGGTTATTATGCAATTAATGATATAAGACATACTATTGGTGTGTGACTACAATGAACCTTAGGCATTTCATAAAAGGATGGAAGGGAGGACAATAGAAACAATAGTATAAATAGCCCCACACTCATTCATCTGAAGCACTTTTGAAATAATTAACACAAAACCTAAGGAACATTTTTGTCCTAGACAAAGGCAAGAGGGAACTGAACACTGAAGGCAAAGCTAAAAAGCTGACTTCTGATTTGAGAGACACAATAATTGGTTTTTTTATGAGCTTGCCTATGAGAAAAATCAGTCAGCATCTTGAGTACCCAAGTGAATGGTAGAAACTGCAATAAAACAAGCACGATACTAATAGTGCTTCTGACAGAGTGGGAATCTAGGTACATTTCATTTATATATATATAATCATTTTCACTTATGTAACTCTTTTCATCTGAGGCCCTCACATTACTCTACAAAAATGGCAAATTTACTATTATATCTGTAGATAAATTAAGGCACAGGGAGGCTAAATGACTTGCTGCATTGACCTTCTCACTATTGCCAATGACTTGCAATTGAACTGAAGTCCTCAATGCCTGATCCCTTGAGCTAGTCTCTAAATCTTATTTTTCCCTATATTACCAGATGTATTATGTTGTGAAGATGAAAAGTTCTTTATAAAATGTAAAGATTATTGTTCTAAAGTAACATTAATCTTAAAATCATTTAATCTTCTGAACAGCTGGTCATCTGAGGAGTACTGTGAGGCAGATTAGATGAATGTTGTTATCTTTCATATTTGCAGGAATTTGACATAGTCAAAACAAACTTCTTTGTCTCATTTTAGACCGGTTGGACAATGTGATGAAACCGGTTTAGTTTAAGGAAAATGGATTATCATGCAGAGGTTCAGTAAGCTTTGGAGTTCCTCATCCTAACAATCATGGGAGATTACTGTAAACTGCCTTGTAACAACCCCTATCAGGAGAAAAATTGCTAGCAAAGATTAGAGGGAGTCCAGGTTGCACTACACAAGACTTTGTAAACAAGCAAGCATTTCAATCTGTAGAATGGGGGAAGAGGTGGCCACAACATGGTCAGGTTACAGGAAGTCTATAACATGGTGCAAGGTGCAAGGCTGATTTCAAGACACAGTAGTAGTTTTTCTTCTGGTCTTTCTATACAATCTGTCTGAAAGCTCCCAGGACCCATGCATGCACATACTCTGTTCTTCTGGGTTATGAGATCTCTGTTACAACTTTGAGATTCTCATACTAAGCTGCTGTGTGATCTCTTGAGTGGTATGACAGAGGAAGAGACTGAAAAGGGCTCCCTGAAAAGGGCTCTCTGAAAAGGGTATTATGATCTAATAATGCAGATCTGTTCTCCCTGCGTGAATTTGTGATTTTTCCTCATGTTCATGAGACATTTATACTTCATGTGACAATACTTGTGCATGCAGGAGCTGTGGCATGATGCACCAGAATTTGTGTCATCTGCTTTGACATTTGCCACTTAGTATCCCTAAGAAGATTTATACATGCCAAATGAAGCAGGTGTTCAAGTGAAATTGTTAATGTGATCTGCATTTGAATTTTTGATAACTTTTCATATTGACATTCACTATTTATTTTTGGGTTCCATTTGAGGTGATTAAATTAGCCATTCACACTATTAATTGCTTTCTAACAATTTCAGCTGACCCTTTAATTTTTGATATCCTGATAAAAGAAAATCTCGTGGCGAGAATAACATACTACACAGCAGAAGTCCAAATCAAATAACTTGCTGGATAAATTTGATAATTTGAAATACTGTATCTGCAGTCTGACTTAAATTGGAACTATCAGAGATGGTGGGTTTGTATTTTACATGATGCCATTTATACTACTGAAAGTCTCAGGGGAGCTCTTGTGTTTGCCTTTAATGGTAGGCAGTTTTGTTTCCAGTGTGGTATGCTGAATTATAGCTGAAGAACTTTCAGTTACTCTTCCTAAGCTCAATATATGCCATACTGCAAGCATGCCAGATTCTGTGGTATGAAGCAGTTGCCTCCTGCTGCACACTACCAGTAAAAACAAAAGCATTGCCCATTCAGGAGGTTGTTTTCTGATTGCATGTAGCTGGCAGAATTAATTTCCTGTCCAGTTCTTTCACAGTGATACTGTGTTATTACCCACAGTATTATGCAAAAACTTATTACCAAATTTGTTGTGCGGCATGGAGCAGGAATAGCAGGAAGGCT